GAGCTGATGGTGCCACACCCAGGGCTCACCCCGCTCTGTCCCGCAGGGATGGCGCCCGTGGTGCCCGAGGCCGCCCCGGCCCGTCGGTGAGGTGCCCCCCAGCGCCACCCCCGAGCCCCCTGCCCAGAGCACRATGAACAAGCTGCCCTTCCACAACAACAGAGTCATGCAGGACCGGCGCAGCGTGTGCATCTTCCTCCCCAACGACGACTCCCTCAACATCATCATCAACGTAAGGAGGGCTGGGGACCCCCCGACATTTCTGTCACCCCTGGGGCAGTGTTCACACACCACGGCATGGCACGAGCTCCATCCCTCATCCCTCGCTCCATAAATCCCCTCTGGATGGCTCTTCAGCCTCCTGTAGGGAGAGAATAAACAGGAGGGGCTTTGGCTCTGATTGGGATGGAGCACTGAATGTGAAATTCCCCCACTTTTCATTTTTAGGCTTGTTTTKCTTTTAAATTTACCCACACCCAACGTTTCTTCTGATGCAGGAAGATTTTTAAAATTCCTGTCAGAACTTAAAGGGAGCTTATACAAAAGATGGAGAGAGATTTGAAAAGAGGCAGATAATGATAGGATAAGGGGAATGGTTTTAAATGAAAAGAGGGAAGATTTAGATTAGATAATAGGAATAAATCCTTGCTGTGAGGGTTGGGAGGCCCTGGAATAGGATGCCCAGAGAAGCTGTGGAAATGTTCCAGGCCAGGTTGGATGGGGCTTGAAGCACCCTGGGATGGTAGAARGCACCCAGGGGTGGAATGAGACCATGAATGTTCTGATTTTTGCCCCCAAAACATCTCTCCTGTGCTGATCTCCTCCATCCCCGCTGCTCTCGATCTCCCCTGGCAGAGTTCTGCTCCTGCACCCCAGCCTTTTGGAGCTTCCCCTGGAAAGCTGAGCCCCAAACCCAGTCTGTCACCCCCCATTCTGCTTGGAGTCCTGGGGAGGGGTTGGTGCTCCCTGCCCCACTCATGGAAGGCTCACAGAAGGGTTTTTTTTTTTTTCAGGTGAAAATTTTGTGCCAAGAGTTGCTGGTGCAGGTGTGTGACCTCCTGAGGCTGAAGGATTGTCACCTCTTYGGGCTCAGCGTCATCCAGAGTAAGTCAGGTGGCCTCATTGGGTGACAAAGATGTCACAGCTCCCCAGATGGGTCGTGGTGGGAGGCAGGGGACACGTGAGGATGCTGATGCCACCTCTGTCCCCTCCCCCAGACAATGAGCACGTGTACATGGACCTGGCCCAGAAACTCTACAAGTACTGCCCCAAGGAGTGGAAGAAGGAGGCCAGCAAGGTCAGCGGTGAGGTCTTGCATGGAGAGCTGACGGCAGTAAGGCCACCTCTGTCCCCGTCGCAGGTCACTTCCAGGAGCCGGGAACGGTGTGGGGGCATTTAGTCAGTGTGGGGTTAGGGGTGGGTGTGCAAAATTCCAGCCCTGGGGATGGTGGTGGGGACATTTCTGGGGTTATCACTCCAGCTGGGGCAAGCTCGGATTTTTTTTTTTCCTCCCTAATACTTCAGCAGAATTTTTAAGGTGCCTTCTTCCAAGTTCCAAAATCAATTTGGGATTTTTTTCTCCCCAAAATCAATTTGGGATTTTTTCTCCCCAAAGCACCTTTTCATTGTTTCTGTGCTGAGGGGGTGGTGTCAAAGCTCCAGTGCTGATCTGAGCTGGTGGATGATGGACTGGGAGAGGGAGAACGGCACTGAAGGGGGTTGCAGACCCCCTGAGGATTCTCAAACTCAGCCACCTTCTTTTTAAAATCCAAACCCCCTTCATTTCCAGCATTTTGTGAAGAAAAATGGGTGCCAAGCTCTTAAATGAGGAATAAAATGCCATCATTGTCGTGGTGAGCAGGGGGTGGCTGTGACAGACATGACCCCAGAGAGCTGAGTGAGGGGCTGGGYTGTGATGCTGGGATCCCCACGGAATTCCTAAAAACCTCCTCCATTCCAGGGGATCGACCAGTTCGGGCCCCCGATGATCATCCACTTCCGAGTGCAGTACTACGTGGAGAACGGGAGGCTCATCAGGTGGGGTGTGCCAGCCTGCAGGGGCACCTTCYAGGGATGGGAGTGCACCCTCGGGGTGCTGTGGGGTGCTGTGGGTGCTGATCACATCCCAAAAGCTGGGACACTGCCCCAACCAGCGATGACAAAGCCATTTGGGGGGCTGGGGACATCGTGTTTAGGGGTTCACAGCCTGTTTGAACTCACTGGGGCTGGGTGGGACCTGCTTTGGGGATAA